CCCCAAAACCCCAAAACCCCAAAACCCCGTGTTGGCTTGATAAAATATAATAGCTCGTTCATTATTTAATCAATAATTAAATGTCAAAAAAATTAGATAAAAAGGACATTTTGGCTTTTCTTGATTCTAAATTTTCCAAACTTGATAAAGAGAAAGAAAAAAAGTCAAGTAAAAAGAGAGAAGAAAAGTAGGAGGGCAAAGATTAACTAAATAAGCCCAAAAATTAAGATTAATAGAAATCATCTCAAATCTAAAATTCTGTCTAATTTGATAATTAGAAACTGAGTGAAGGCATGTAAAATGAAAATGCACTTCAATAAGTTTTATCAAACCAAACTGAAAATAATAAAACTCTGAATGATAATATACTATACTCTCAAATGATTCCATAAAATCAGCAAAAGACAGATGAAAATTTAAAGAAATTCAAGGAGTTTTCTCTAAAACACCCTCAAAATTATGATAATGAGCTTAAAAACAAAATTTTCTTTATTGGTCAGAATAACATTGGTAATCAAAGTGGAGAAACATTAGTCTAACCAGGAACTGAATAAATAAGTCTAAAGCAAAAACAGTAAAGAAATTAAGCTATTCAATCATAGAAGAAAGTATCAAGAAATACTCTTAAATAGCTAGATAAGATGCACTAGTAGTAATCTTAAACCCTAAAATATGAGACATTCGCACAGCTTAACAAACTCTGGAAATAGTATATTATGACTTTAATTGGAAAAGATGATAATATGGCTTCAATCTGTTCAAAAATAGTCAAAGCTGATTTTAACGGGGCTTAAGTGAAAGTTGTTAAAAGCAAGAATGAATGCATGATAGGAGTATCAGGATTAGTAGTTAAGGAAACAGTGAGATGTCTGTTTATAATAAATGAAGAGAATCAAGTTAAAAATTTATTAAAATAGGGCAGTGTTTTTGAAATAGATCTTGGAGATGGCTAAAGAGCAGTTAGAATCTGGGGAGATAACATAGTTTTTATGGGAAGTGAAAGGACTAAGGTTAAGTTCAAGGAAAAGTTTAATTTTGATCTTTATTGATGATCCTTACTTTATTAATCTTCAAATTATATCTTTAATTTCTTAATAATAGAACCAATTTAACAGAGTTATTTATAGTCATTTCATTAAAACAAACATTAGTAATCAACTATTGAAAACTGATTCAGGATCATGAGGGATCAAATGACTGACTGTTGCCATTCCTAGCATCAATGCCCAGAAAAATAGTGTGCCAATGAAGCCTCCAGGTAAGAATAACAAGAACATTGTATAACCCATAAATAGAATGAACATGAAAATAGGAGTTAATAGTCCCCATATAGGCCATAATGCAATGATGAAACTAAACAAAGCTTACAAATCTTCAAATTTTACCTGAAAAAAGATAATATTCCCACAATAGTAATGACAGGAATTAGTTGAGGGCAGTAAGTCTCAAAATCCTCCTTTATCCCTTTTATATAGGGAAGATACACAGTCATATAAATCATAAAAGCTATGTTGATTCCAATTCCAATCATAGCTAAATCAAAGAAAAACATCACCTTATGTGGGTTCTCCCAGACCTGCCTGAAAAAATTCGTTTTGTATATCAGTAGTGCTGAACCTAATACCCAACCTATTTTCTGTTTAGATAACCAGTATATATTATTACATAATGCCTAGCCCTTATCATTGACATAGTGAAGTCTTCTCACCCACTTTCTTTTCCTTGCCTCTCTCTTTAATGCTTTTACTTATCTCTCAGTTAGATTGAATTCCTCTTCAAAATCAGCGTCATATTCTTTCGACTGCCTCTTTGACTATGCATGTGCTTGTATCTCATCCTAAGTCTCATCGTGAGTCTCGAGTCTATCGTAATTTTTCCTCTTTTATGGCCCTTCTACCACTATGCTCTCTTTTTCCTTGAATACCTTCTGTGATTTCATATTTTAAATAGATTATAACAAGTAAAATCTCGCTATATAAATTGAGAAAATTAACTCATAATTATAATTATTTAACTAAATATAATAAATAAGTCGCTCTCAACCACGAAATCATTTGATTAAGTTTAGAAATGAATTCACCTCTCTAAGCTCACTTTTTATCTCTTGGCTTTTATGTCGATTGATAGTTAAACAAGCTATAAGAGAGAATATAACTTCGATTTGAGTCAGCAGAGAGAACCTTTACTATGTTCTCCTTGTGTTATGATAATCTAACAATACACCTTCTCAATACTTTACTTATAGTTAATAGCCAGACGGAAATTTAATTAATAGTATATTAGACAACTAGTCTTATCACATAAAGTCAAATATTAATTAAAATAAAGGTGATAATAAACTATCTATATCAATCAAGTGAAAATCAGACTTAGATCATTCACTAACTACTACTTTAATAATTAGGGTTACTTGTGAACATCCTTATCTATTGTCATTGCTCATGGAACAATAGCTATTAAGCTCATCTTTTTCTTTTTCTAGTCTGACTTTTGTTTTGCTAAGTTGGCTGCTTCTGCTGTTCTTGCTATGCTTGCTTTTTCTTTCTAGTTTCAGCTGCTTTGAAAGCAGCAAGCCTTCTTTTTTCCTTCAAAATCTATTCACCCGAGGGTTCATTCATATAGTCTTTACTTTCATTAAGAGAATTAGAATTCTCGTCTTGATGAAGTACTTGAATAATTTTTTTCTATCCACTACTTTTTACCTCTTTTTATGATTCATCAATCATATCTATATCTCTCATTCCTATCTTAGTAACTTTAATTGCTGAGTTTTATCTTGAAGAACTTAGTGATTCACGATACTAAGATCTAGTAAGTACATGAGAGTCATTTAAGTAATCTTAATTATTCTGCTAATTTCTGTTTTTAGCTCTGGTATTTACTTTCTTTACTGACTAAAACTCTACATCTTTTTTCTTTAGAGCTGGCTTCTTGGTTTATGCTCTTCTTGCCACTTTTTTTCTATTTGACTTTTTCTTTGGCTTCAAATTTTCTTAGTTAACTGATTAATCTAACTCTCTCTGAGCCTTTTTACTGTCTGGATCAATAATTTAATTAATGGAGTTATCATTATCATAAATTCCTGCTTCCTGTAAGTCCTCAATTAATTGTTACTTTTGTTTTGATTTGCTTGAAGGTTGAATTGATATTGATCTCTTAGAATCTTTTTCCTTTGTGATACTAATGCTATTTTTCCTTGAAATCTCAGCTTATTAATTAAATAAAGTCTCATTTTATTAAGAATCATCCTTCATTTCTTTGTTCTCAGGTTTTTAAGCTCCTATAATTTATAAGGCTTAATGACTTATTGATTTTTTACTATTTTAAGTTGAAAGAACTTGGATTCCCTAGACTTATTCCATTTATATATTTTATTCTTTGAATCTGCTTTCCCTCTTCATAGAATCACGATTTCTATTGATAGATGAAGTACTTATTCTCATGCTAAATCTGCATTGTATTTCTTGATCTCTCATTTATCTTTATTAGCTATTCTCATTTTAATGTATAAACTGCTCCTGCTCCTGCTCTTCTTCTTCATCATTATTCATAAGAAAATCAGGTTATTTCTGGTTAATTGTTATCTGACTAACTGTTTGAAACTGACAAACAGTATTTTGTGAGTTTTCATCTCCTATTGGATCTTGATCTGGTGAGGCATCATATTATAGAGTCTCATTTGTGACTTATTGATTTTAATTATTATTATGAGGCTCAAAAGGTGTTTAAGACTTAGTTTACTAAATGATTTTGTTTTCATTGTGATCACATGGATACTGATTCTATTATTGTATTTGAATGATATTCTTAGCTTGAAACAGCTGTGAAACGCTCTTAAGTAAGTCAAGTGAAGAATTGTCAACCACCCTAAATGATAAGTTAAACTAGTTGTCAAAGTCATTGTTCTCACTACTCTGGATAAGAAAATTTTCAGCGGACATTTGTCGTATTTCTTTAGGTAGTCTGGTGAGAATATCTGCTATAGAGTTATGCAAAGCTAGTTTATATTAATGCATTTCAAGCTCAAAAGACTACTTGAAGAGCAAATGAGAATTAAAGATAGAGTTGTAGAGTTCAATATCCTAATCTTCGTCATCTTCATCAATGCTATCACATGGAGTCTAAATATCAGCGGGCAATTGAGCACCTGTGAAGACACTGTGTTCCCTATTGATTTAATTGAATGTCTCTGCACTATTTGAATGCTCATCTTGTTAACTTTGAGTGGCATGATAATTATTTGCCAATGAGGCTCGATGATCTCCTTCTAAAGTGTCTGAAAATAAGTATTCACTGTGAGTTTGATGTGCTGATTGCATATTTTTATCAATAAATTACCTGTTTATTTTTAATTTTGAAATTTAAATTCAATTGATTTTAAAATGAGTAATGAACCAAGGGGTTTTGGGGTTTTGGGGTTTTGGGGAGATCGGAAGAGCACACGTCTGA